TCTCCCCATATATATATATATGTATTTTTTTTTTTTTTTTCTGTTGGACGATACATAGCCTCAGGTTTCCACCATCCAGACCAAAACAAAGCTTTTCTTGATGCTTCCTTTTTCTTTTTTTAGTCTTCTCAGATTAACGTGGCATTCCTTGGGGTTTCATTTTTGTTCTTTTCTCTAATTTCCTTATGTGATTATACTTCTTTTCATGGCTTCAAATAGCACCTGTATATTTATGGTTTTCGAAAATATCTATTTGGTCCCCATTTCTCTTGAACCTCAGGTCCCAATTTTCATCTGCCTACTGTATAACTAACTGTATTTGGATGCTTGGTACTTCAAATGTGGTTACGTTTTCCTTCCCTTTTTATCTACACATAGCCCCCTTCAAGCACATATACAAACATTTCTCTTATTTTAAGATCTTTACTCTAGAAACTTTAAAATCATCTTCTTTTTCTCCCCACATTAAGTCTAGCATAGATCCTGTTATTGCTACCTCAGATCTTTTTTTCTCTCTCTTCATAAGACTTTTTATTCTCTCTTCATTGCCAGAAGACTGGTTCAGACCTTGGTTATGCTTTTTCTGAACCTCTGGGTCCTGTAGTCTACTTTGTCCTCCACACTGCTGCGGGGATTGGTTCCATTTCTGAGATATCCGGCTGATCATGCTGCTTACTTTGTTTAAAAGTTCTTAATCAGCTCCCAATTCCTTAGCATGTTGAGCCAGTCCTTCCAGGCCTCTGCAGCATGGGCACATCCCCTTCCTGGCCCTTCATGATCCAGAGAAGAAAGCAGTAAGGAAACAGATGGTTCACTACAGTACGATCAAGACTGTGACAGGTGACTACAGGGTGCTCTGGGAACACCACCCTGGAGAGAGTGAGGACAAATTTCTGTCCACAGGCACCTAGGACTTTTTCTATCACCTTAGTTTGGGTTAGGTGACTCTTTGTTTTCCTACAGCACCCTGTACATACTTCCGTCTCCATTTTTACCACTTATACCATTTTTACTTCTTTTTTTTGAGAGACATTCTTCTTCTGTTGCCCAGGCTGGAGTATAGTGGTCCCATCTCAGCTCACTGCAACCTCCGCCTCCAGTGTTTTGAGTAATTCTTATACCCCAGCCTTCCAAGTAGCTTGGATTATAGGCACCAGCCACCACACCCAGCTACTTCTTTT